CTTGTTGGTCTGTAGAGGCACAAAGCAGCGGTAACCAAAAGTGTTCCCCTGACACTACCCCCTGCCTCCTGTGGCTCTTCCCAACTCCAGCATAACTAATTCGTCTATTCCAAACCCGTGGCTGGAGCACAGGATTGCCCCAATCGGGCAACTAATAGAAGAATGTTTCTCAGCACTTAGGAGGCAGAGGCAGGTGGGTCTCTGTGAGTTCAAGACCAGCCAGGGCTACACAGAGAAACCCCATCTCAGGGAGAAAGCGTCCAAGGCCCCATCACCACTTAGGGTTCATGACATGTGGCTTGGTTTTCTCCTAGCTTCCCTCCTTTGTTTTTATTTTGTTTTGATGCAAAGTCTCAGGTAGCCCAGGCTGGCTTGAATTTAGATCCTCCTGCCTCCATCTTCTATGTGTCGGCCATCAAACTCGGGGCTTATGCGTGGTAGGCAAGCAGTCTGCCCATTCCTTTGTTCTTGGTCCCAGTTTGTAGTCAAATTGGCCTTGAACCTCCTCCTCCACAGCCTCTCAAGACTGCCCGGGATGACATCAGGTTACAGCTATGTGTACCTCGTGTGGTGGCTTCTCTCCAGCCTCTCACCACCACCACCCCACCTGACTTAAGCAGAGCATGGCTCCTCTGGGTTCTTTTTCCTTTCCGTTAACCCAGCACCCTCCCAGTCCCACACACAGACTAACCTTGTGGGCCAGACAGAAGGCAGCGATGCCCACAGGCCAAAAACAACACAGGACAGAGAAGACCGCCAGGCCGAGGTGGTCTTGGGGCAGAAGAGGCGAGAGGCGACCGCCCCCGTCGTAATCTGAGTCACTGTCACTGGACGATGTGCCCTACGGACAGGAGAGAGTCCCGATGGGTATATCCCCACCCACCTTTCCTGCCCCGTCACCTCCGTGGACCAGTGCTTCCCTGGGGCCTCCCCAGAGATAAAAACATTCAACAAGGTGGGCTTTAGACTTCTCTGCCCGCTAGATCCCTTGGAGGAGAGGGTGTGGACACTGGGGGTCCTCAGAGACACCCCCACCCCCAGGGTGCTGAGTTCATTCTCAAGGGTCCAACTATGGGAAGACTGCTTGTAATCCCTGAATGGGGGCAGACGTTACCTTGGGTGTTAGAACCTGCAAAAGAGATGGGGATGAACAACCATCCAGTGACCTGAGTTGCTAGGACAAACCTGCCAGCCAACACTGATCCTAAAGCCAGGTGTGCCTGTAATCCTAGCATCGGGCTGTCCTGGAACTCTGTATACCAGGCTGGCCTCAAAACTCACAGAGATCCACCTGCCTCTGCCTGGCATTAAAGGCGTTCGCCAAAAAAAAAAAAAAAAAAAAAAAAAACACACCTTTGCTCCAAAAGCTCTTCGACCTTGTGACTGGTGCCCCTCCCGCCACCCCCAGCAGCTGTGCGGTAGGCTCTCCCTGCCCTTGAATCTGGGCAGGGTTTCAACTCATTTGTCCTTAGCGAATGTCACAGTAACCTCTACAAGATTTCCTAGGGAAGAGGTGACCTAATCAGGTTCGGTCCCAAGGGTTGAAAGTTCAAACCCAGCCTGACTATAGAGTGAGTTCAAAGTCGGCATGGGCAATTTGACAAGACCCAACCTCAAGTAAAGTGGGAAATCCGGCGCTGGTGGCTCCTGCCTCTAACCCCAGCACTTGGGAGGTAGAGGCAGGAGGCACAGAGGTTCAAGGTCCTCTTCAGGTACATGGCGAGTTTGAGGCTAGCCTGGGCTACGTGAGACTGGATCACAAAAGACGCAAGGCACGCCGATGGCACAGGGCCTGCATTTCCAGTCAGGAAGCTGAGGAGCTCAGAGCCAGAATGAAGAACAAACCTTGTCTCAAAAAACAAAAAACAAAAACAAAAACGAGGTATTAGAATGAAAGACATGTTTCTCAATACGAGCAAGGAATAGGGACATTATAAAAAAAAAAAAAAGTGACTGTAAGCTAGCCATGTTGGCACAAACCTGTAACTCCAGCATTCGTGGAGGCTGAGATGGAAGGATGGATTTAAAGGCACCCTGAGACACACAGACCCTGTCTCATAAAAAGGGGAGGGGGGCTGGAGGGATGGCACAGTGGTTACCGCCCCTGCAAATGACCTGAGTTAGGTTCTCGGCGTCCTTATGCGGAGGGTTACAGCAGCCTATAACCCCAGCTCCAGGGGATCTAAATATGGGAAAATGCAAGCACAGACATACACACACCTAAAACTGAGGGCTGGAGAACCAGCTCATCGGTTAAGGCCACTGTGAATGATGCAGGATCCCATCCACGGGATGTCTCCCAACCATCTGTAACCCCAAGTCCCGACGGATCCGGCGCCCTCTTCTGGCCTCCACAGGCACTGCATGAGCATGGTGTCCATACATGAAGACATAACGGGTAAAAATAAAAGCTTAAACATCTGAAATGTAAGAAATATCCTTTAGGGGCTGGAGAGATGGCTCAGAGGTTAAGAGCACCGGCTGCTCTTCCAGAGGTCCTGAGTTCAATTCCCGGCAACCACATGGTGGCTCACAACCATCCGTTATGAGAGCTGGTGCCCTCTTCTGGTGTGCAGAGATACATGGAAGCAGAATGTTGTATGCATAATAAATAAATAAAATCTTTTAAAAAATATCTTTTAAAGCAGGGGGAGGGGAAAGGGTGCACTGGATGGGTGGTCAGGTAAAGGCACTGGCCCATCAAGCCTAATGATCTGACTCCAGGTCATAGTGGAAGAAGAAAACCAAAGAATCTTGACCTCTACCTCTACACGTGTGCCCTGGCCTCACTCCATACACACACGCACGCACACACCAATAAATGTTAACTTTAAAAAAAAATTTAAAGACATTAACTTGAAAAAATGGGTCAACAGAAGCCAAGCGTTTGTGGATTCTGGAAAGAGAAAACTCGAGTCAGAAGGAAAACAGCCAACAAAGACAAATGGACACGAGGTGAGGGGCCTGGAGAAAAAAAAACACTGCACTCGGAAGGCAGAGCCAGGTGGAAGTGTCTTGAGTTCGAGGCCAGCCTGGTCTACACGGAGAGCTCCAGGCCAGTCATGGCTTCACAGAGAAACCCTGTCTCAAAACAAAAAACTCCAAGACTCCCAGCCAGTCCCCCGCACAGTCAAGTGGGACTCCAGACCTAGGCAGATGCCAACAGCACGCAGACCGACGCCCCTACCTCGAGGTCAGGGGTCTCAGGCTCCCCGAGGCCGGCGCTCACGGAAGGAAGAGGTGGGAGAAGGAATTGCCCGGCAAAGACCGTTTCTGGGAAGAGGGGTCCCAGCTCTTCTTTGTCTGGCTTGGGGGACAGGAGGTCACAGTCTGTGTATCTCAGCAAGGGTTGCTGGAGCTCCTGTACGCTGGGGTTGTCCATGGCTGTGGTAGGGGGGGGTTCCTGGAGACAGAGAAAAACACATTCAAATCCCAAGAGACTTGTCTTCATCCATCGCCCCCTGGCTATTGGCTTCGGAGAGATGAGTGAAAAAAAAAAAAAAAGAAAAAAAAAAAAAAAAAAAAGGGGGGGGGGGGGGGTGTCTCTAACTCACAGAGAATTCAGGGTCCCCGAAGATCAATTCTGGGATGCTCTCAATTGTATACCTGTTGCACAGTCACTGTAAACCATGTCTTACACACTTACTTGTGGAGCC